GAGATTAATTATCTAATCCGAGATGTGTTTTTTAATATGGAAAGCACTTTTCTTGTATAGTTTGGATTCTAAATACTGAAATTACTAAAATATCATTAATAAAACTGCTCCTCATATTAGTTCGTTAATGATGTTTCGGTACTTTTAGCACTTAGATTGCACAAAAAAATACAATTTGTGCAGTAGCAGTAGCAGGATGAGTTACAATCCTTTCAAAACTCGTCATAGAATCAGTAAACTCACAATACTGAAAAACTCTAAAAATATGGAGAAATAGATGCCAAGATCGAAATAACAAACCAACAAAATACCTCAGAAAGGGTCTAGAATCGAGGATAAACAATCCAATCTGTATGAGAAGAGATCCCAATAACAAAGTTGCAGATTTGGAGTGGAATTGAAAATCTAACTCCAAAAAACCCAACAACAATGATAAGAGAAAAGAACCAAGAGCTTATAGCTCTGATACCATGTTAGAAACTGAAAAGAAAGAGAAATATCTGAAGAAAGGTTTATTGCTTTCTTGAATTATATCATATGTACAATGACCTATATATAGGTGTTTACAAAGAAAATATTTTAAAGTATAAAGTATACAAAGAGAATATTCTAAAGTATAAAATATTTACAATAATTCTAAATATAATTATGTTTACATCTTAACAGGCCCGTTCGTGTCCCTGTCCTTCTCTGGTGGAATTTGATCCACAGTTAACTGTGGTTGTTAGAATGAAAAATAAGGAAGCTACTGTTTCTTTATGCAAACCGATGGACTTGGAGGGATATATCCACAATGTTTTTAGTCTTAGCATCCTGATTAATTGCTTCTGTCATTTGGGTTTGGTGAATTTTGGTTTCTCTACTCTGGGGAAAATGTTCGAGCTCGGTATTGAACCTGATGTTATAACATTCAACACACTGATCAATGGGTCATGTGTGGAAAGGAAAGTGTTTGAGTCAAGGAGGGTATTTGATGACATGGTTCGGGATGGATTTCATCTTGATTTAATTACGTATAGTACCTTAGAAAATGGTTTGTGTAAAATAGGAAAGTCTGGTGAAGCTGTTAGGTTGATGCAGAGGATGGAAGAAGGTGGTTTCCTGCCAAACATTGTCATATCGGTACAGTCATTGACAGACTTTGTAAGGATGGGCTCATAATTGAGGCCTTAAAACTCTTCTCTGAAATGATTGATAAAGGAATCATCCTGGATGTTTTCATTTATAGCTCATTGATTCAGGCTATGTGTGGTTCAAGAAAGTGGAAAGTGGCTAAAAGTTTATTGGATGAAATAGTTGGTCGGACGATCAAACCTGATGTTGTCGCCTATAATATAATAACAGATACACTTTCTAAGGAAGGGATGGTGTCAAAGGCTCAAGATGTAGTTGAAGCAATGATTAGGGAAGGCATTTAGCCTAATATTGTCACTTACAGTGCATTGGTGGATGGATATTGTTTGCTTGGAGAAATGGATGAGGCAATAAAGGTATTTGCTTCAATAATGATCAGGGGGTTACCCAATTACTTTAATTAGCTACAGTATCATGATCAATGGATATTGTAAGGTCAAAATGATAGAGGAAGCAATTGAGCTCTTTAATGAGATGTCTCATAAAGGATTAAAGCCTGACACTATAACATACACTACTCTTATAATGGGGATGTGCCAGGTAGGAAGGCTTTCAATTAACAGCACCAGAACTTTTCAAGGAAATGATTGCTTGTGGTCAAGTTCCAAATTTATTGACTTATTCAATTTTGCTAGATGGCTTCTGCAAACATGATCACATTCATGAGCTATTGGAACTGTTTCAAGCAGTGCAGAAAGAAGGTTTTCAACCTAATATCGTTTATTATAATCTCTTAATTGATGGCTTGAGTGATGTTGAGCTGATAAAGTTGTAAAGGAAATATTTTTTAGACTTTCTATTAAAGGGCTACAACCTACTGTTTACACATACACTATAATGATTAAAGGACTTTGCAAAGTAGGACTAGCAAATGAAGCTTATATGTTGTTCAGGACAATGGAAGAGGATGGCTGCAGACCA